TTTACCGCATTTTCCACTGCACCACCAGCATTCTCTCAGAGGGCGGGGAGCCACAGAATTTTCGATGCAAATTACCGAGCAGGCGGATCGCAGGCGCGTCCACATCATCAGTAGCCAATGGCGTGTAGTAGTTGTACATGATGATAATGATGCCGCCGCTGCTGCTGCTGCTGCTCCTGGATGATATTATCCGAGCCTCGTGCTGCAGCCAGCGGAACGCCGAGCGACAGCAGCTGCGGCAACAGCAGAGCAGCGCTGCCGGCAGTAGCAGCAGTCAAATGAGAGCAACGACGTAAGACGGGGCAGAAACGGCCACCAACAACCGACCGTGCATCGCACAGCACCGGCAGCAACAACAACGAACGGTGCTGCATCGAGCAGCGCCACTCCGGACAACGGCAGGCGAGATCCAGAAAAAAGCACGCCCGAACACCGCGACGTGCCAGAACGGCCGAGAATGCCCGGCAGGATGAACTACGGGGGGGGAAAAAACGCGGTCCGGCGGCAAGCGCAAGCACTGGTTTGCGGTCCATGAAGTATCTCACATCGTGGTCTAGAAGTGGCAACATTCATTCGAGGGGCCTAGTAATACTCGAAATGCAAAGATATATCGGTACGGATAGGCTCTCGCCAATCGCTCTTCGCTGGAGAACCGCTGAACTTACAATCCTTTCTGGAGACCAAACAAACATTTTTTGCAGCGCTGAACAGGAATGTATGCGACTTGATGGACCGGAACATCCCTATTCAGGTTTTTATTCCGATTTAACTTATTCACATTCCTTTTATTCCCTTACTTTCAAACCCTTACTTTTTACATAAATACACATCATCTAAAATTAAAATTACAATTTGCGATGCGATGGCCAGCCGGCTGACCATTGCCCAAACACTGGTTAGAGCGATTGGAGAAGCTACTAGCTTCGTGGATGGAGACAAGATATACAGGATCGCCAACACACTGGTCATCCACTGGTCAAAGAAGTAACTAGAAAACTTGCCAGCTATTTAGATAGTCGACAGCTATTTCAAGCATTGCAAAAAAAAGTGGCTACTCAAAAAGAGCTCTCGATCGTTTCATTTTCTGGGAAAGCTTTTTCGGTCGCTCGGGGATACTAGATGGAAAGAAGCAAGCGAGTCCCGGGGAAAACATGTTTGTTGCGATATGTGACGCGCGTGACCCTGACACGCATCGAATCTCCCCGAGCCAAATCAATGGGGCCATCATAAACAAACTCATCCGCAAGATAAGCCAAGTACCGTCCCGTTGATAAGAATATTGGAATTTTGAAGAAATTAGACAATGGTTGAAGAGCTAAAAACACGTGTTAGGGGACCATGAGGTATGTGATTAGCACATGTTTCGGAGAATCAAGTGCTAGAAGGCCATTTGTCGGTGTTTCATCTCTTAGCTGTAAACACAGACTTTGATAAGATGCGGTAGATTGCGCCGCTTTCCAGCGATAAAGCTAGTAACTGTTCCAGTTACTTCAACCGATGTTGCAACACCTAGTTAACGATTCTTGTGACAGCACTGCATCACCATTCCGTCTTAAACATTGCTTTTCCTGGGCCACGATGTGGTGCTTTACTGGATGGGAAGTAACTGAACATCAGATGAGGTTAAAAGTCGGGTTGCAAGAGAGTTGGAGGAAAATTTAAATTTGGAAGCTACTGTTGAAGAAGAGAGTAGGCTGCCAAATTTTTCGACTCTCCTGATTTTTTGATTCTCGGAAGTGCAGGGCTAGAAAAAAACTCTTCAAAAAGCACTCGAAATATTTTTAAGCGGAATTTAAGCTTTCTTAGCAATAAATATCTACTGGACATAGCTGCAGCAACTGACACATGCTTGCGCCGGTCACTTGCTGCTAGAAATTGGCTTGATTTCGAAACAATGCCAAGAAGCTCGCCTCTAAAGGCGTCAGAGAAAATAGCCAAATTGCTAATAGCGTGGGCAGAGAGCAGCATCCAGCTGCTGTAGTGGTTTCTAGCAGTGCTCAGTATGCTAGAATTTAGTCAGTATGATACTGGCACTGAGGAAAAACCAGTCTTTCATCGGTCCGTTTCAATAACAAATTAGTGCCGGCACGCTCGTTCGCTAACAGCTTTTGGAGTATTATACTTCCCTAGTAAGTGCAAATGTCCAGAGGACCGTTGAGATGGTAATTTTCTCAGGGGACGCTCGCCAGTAGCTGACCATCCGTCAGTGCAGCACTGATCAAAGCAACTGCAAAAATGCCAGCTACACGGATTCAGACTCTGAATTAATAGCTATTCCCAGTTTATAGTTATAGATGGATCCTAAAGGAGGGGCAAGGAAGTGGGTCTACTGGTGCGGCGACGGCTGAGGAGAGGGGAGGGGGGAGGCGGGGAAGTGAGGCTCCTGGGGAGAGGAAGGGGCAACCGCAACCGGGAGTGTGGAAGAGAGTTTTCTACAGTTTTAGCACTGCTACCTGTGCCGTCAAAGACCACCTCTCCCCTCCCCGCGTATGGTTATAGTTCAACAGTAAATGAAATTAAAGAGGTACGAAGGGAGTACAAAAAGAGCTAGCTGATTGCGAAAACGAAATAGTACCACTAGCAAAACGTTGTCGGCGATGATGACGACCAGATGCGGCGTTTCCATTGCTGCAGGCTCGCTCCTTCGATCTTGCTATCCTGCAATATCCAATTAAGTCTGTAGCTCGTAGGCCGGAATTTCAAACAGAAGATTAAGGGATAAGCAGGCAGCAATTAAAAGCACTAATGAACGGCCTGTTGTTTGTTTAGAAGCATTTAAAAGCATGTACTCACCTTATCCCGAGATCTCTGACAGCTTCACCAGCATCCAGCTTTGGCTGATCCTCAGAATCCGAATGCACCGTGTCGGCGGATCTGGTCACTGGAATACGTCCTGCTGCCACCGTCACTCCTAATGCTCCGGCATCTGCAAATCCTTCACTGTTAGTTCAGTTTCCAATATGATTCATTCTAATTATTTGGGCTTAAATGCTTACGGGGCCTTGTCATGAGGCGACGTATTGACGGCTTTTTTGGCCTCCCAATCCCTTCTTCCGGTGCCTGGGGGCGCATGGCTTCTCCTCACTGACGCATGGGTAATAAATCAGAATTTCGAAGAAGTTATTTTTGAGTGTCACCTTTCCCCTTCCCTCTCCTCTGTGATTGATAGCTTTCTCTCACGCAGCTGGCTCTGTTATGAAATTTTCAAAATCTCAAAAATGTTCGAAATGGCACACATAAGTTTTACAAACAAAAGTTAGGTTGGTGAACAATTTTTATGCGTTTTGTGCTGTGTAACAGCAGTACAAAACGCATATTGTCACGGGGTTGTCTGTGTGTGCTTGTGTGTGTGTGTGTATGTCCGCAGCAATTTGTCCGCAACTTTCAACTCGGGAACCACAAAAGCTAAGAAG